ATCTGTATACCTTATTGGTATATCTGTATATCTTATTAGTATCAAAATATGTGCAGCAATAGAAGTGCTGCAAATGCAACATTTGCACCTACTTTGTTAACAAAATGGGCACGCTTTGCAGCTCATGTCTGTATTGAAGTATAACAAATTGGAAGCCATTTACATGCAGTTATTGTACATCATCAGGTACATTAATACAAGGTGATACCCAAATATTATATTTGTATACCTCACTAGTATATAGTGGTATTGCACTAATATGGCTAAAACAAAATATGCGCAGAAATACAAATGGTGCACCAGATACAACGTGATACCCAAAATGCGCACGCTTTGCAACTCATGCCAGTACTTACATCTAGTTGCTGCAGGAAAAAAAGTGAGTCAAATACAACGTGATACCCAAATGGTATATCAGTATACCTGATTAAAAAATAACTGTACTGCACTAATACACCATCTATGCTAAAACTACAGATGAACATTAAAGCTTAGAGCATCAACACATTCGAAAGCAGATCATTTAACTTCGCTTCATCTGCCCCTAATTTTCACTTGCAGAAGGTCATTTACTACTAATATTACTATACTTCACCAAAAACTATTAAAATCTTGCAAAGTTTTCATGATACGATTAACTAAAACAAAAAAAAGACCTATACTACTTCTTGCGTTTCTTTCCACGAGTCTTTTTAGGTGCTACTGGAGCCTAAGATTCACTTGATTCGCCATTCAACTGCTTGTTCCTCCCATAGTGCCATAACAGTATACCAAACCTAGCTCGAAGACCATCCACATCGAAATTGGCAACTGGGATTGGAAGATCTTCAATAATATACTCAGCAAAGCAAGCAACATATACTCCACAATCTCTGAAATAAAACAAATGAATAGAATATAAAAATCAATTAGAAGTGAAAATTTTAATATGAATGAGGAAAAGAAAGTAAAAAATAAAGTAACTATTCTTACGAATTTTGTTGTGTTGGCAGATTTGTAATCAGTTCAATCTCAAAAGGATCAGTCAAATTCTTTCCCATGTGCAGACCATTTTCTACTACAATATCACTTCTTTGGTTATAAAATTCAATACTAACTAGAAATAGGGGGATCAACACAGCATAAGCCTCTGCCATCTTTTGAATAGCTTTTTTGTGCTTTCGACTACGTAGCGAGTCATATACGTAAAAACATCTCTTGTGGAATGACACACACCCCAATATCCAATGCCAAATTTCTGCCAAATTAATTGGAAAAAGGACATGATCAACCTGGTGCCATGGAGTGTTGCAATGCATCCTAAATCCTTTCATGTACTGCATGATATCGTCTGATCTATCAATCAAATGATCTTGTTTTCCACCTTTTACAAATTCTTTGAAAACCCTTTGAATGATATTATTAAAAAGAGTATCTGTAGTTGTGACTTTGATTGGCATATTAATTCCATGTTTCGCCTTCTTCCTAAGATAGTAGAATATAATATTCAAGTGCTGCAAAAAAGAGAGGAAGAAAATATGACTACGACTAACAATATGAATGAACTACTACAACAACAAAAATAAAAAGCAGTACACATACCGAACTAGAAAGCGGCCTGCCAGAATAGTTTAAGGTATGGAAAAACATCTTATCATCAATCTGTTCAACTCCAAAGTCAAAACAAGGCTCTAGCTTTTGATCAGCAGGTAAATACACTTCCCTGTTTCGTATAAAAGAAGATATGGATAAGAAATATAACAACAAACATTAAGAAAAAATGAAAACAAAAGTACATGGAAACGAATACGCACTCTCCCAATTGCATGTTTGCTTCAACAAAGTTTGAGAAGGCAGTCGTAAGCTTAAAATTAACAGTCTCTGAAATGTCATTTACAAATGGAAATCTTCCTTTGATAACCTTCGAGGATCCCCCAACTGCACTAACACCAGATTGCCAGTCATTCCTATACGGCGACTGTTTTACAGCTGCGGGGCGCCTTTTCCGTGTCAAAACTGCAGGAGTAGTTTCAACGTCTGTTTGTATCTGGACAATACTTCTTGATACCGACTGATCAGGTTTAGACTTATTTACAGCACCAGTTGTCAGTTCATTTCCTGATTGATTTACATTACATCTCCCTCCTTGTGTAATGGCAGCAATTTGATCAAGTTGAGAATCAGTATATTCAAAATCAGAATCCAAGTGAAGATCACCCCCGTGTTGACATGGAGCTTAAATTAGAAAATGCTAGTGAATAAATAAATATACAAAGTTAAGAAATTTAGAAAAAAAGAATGAAAAGTTATATATAGAAGACATTACCAGAAGGCAAATTCACATTACTGCCACCAACATCCACTTGACCAACACCATCAACCCGACATGCTGAACACATAAAAGCATTATCAACATAACTACTTAAATAAAAAATAAAAAACTATCAAGAACCTATCATTTACATACTAACTACAGAATTAGTAATATCAACATCGTACCCTGTGGAGCAGTATTAGACTCAATAACAACATCTGCTCGTGTCTGTACAGGGATTCCTGATGGCAGTGGAGCAGGACCCGACTTTTTAACATCATGAGATGACTGCTTATATGTTGCTTGTTGTGTAATGGCGGTGATTTGATCAATTGCAGATGCAGACAGATCAAAGTTAGAATCAAAGCCAAAATCATGCTCATTTACGAAGGGGGCTGAAAAAAGTTTTTTTAAAAAAAGGTTAGTCAATGCACAAATACATAGAGTTAAATAAATAAAAAAAGAATAAAAAAATTACATGTACAACATTTTACCAGAAGGCAAATCCTCATTAACTACGCCATCACTTGCTGTGACGTTCTTCACATTGACACCAGTGGCACATCCATCTTGACCAACCCCAGCAAAACCAGATACTAAACATATAAAAGTATAAGCAAGAGTACTATTTTCAAAAAACAACAGCAAAAAAAAAATCAATCAAATCTGTGATTTACATACTAGAAGGTGCTTTGGGCGTGCTATCTCCAATAACTACAGGATCATTCCCAACGTGGCCACTTTCAAACTGGTCATAATCATTATGCATCTCACGAAAGTCAGGATCATTATACTGTTGCTTATGCTGAAAATGAGAAACTAACAATTTTAGTATTATGTATATTACAAGAATAATATGTGCACTAAAAGTAAAGAATGAAATAGTATCCTATAAGCATATATTGCATCTTTGAACAATATACTATAGCATTATATTATATAAAAGATGAATACCGCTGAATTTCCCTCTGGTTTCATTGACTTCATTGACTGCTTACCAATAGTTGCAAGCACCTCCTCAAACTTGTTCTCTACAAAAAGCTTCAAAGCTTGTAACTCCTTCATTACCTCAGCATCGGTAGGTTGGGAATCACCTCCAGTACTTTCAGGCATACTTTGTGTCTTTGGTAATTGAGTGCCAAAAACCTGAAAGCTATCGGGCTGGCTGGGCTTGCTGTCAGTGCACTCAACTTCAATTTCAAAGCTTAGACCACGCACATCAAATTGTTTCTTCTCATCATCAGTTGGGGTGATGTTCTTTAGCTGCAATTATTAAGCACACTAGTTAGAAATAGAAATGATAATAAAGTATGAAGGAAAAAAGATCCATATTACCATATGATACCAATATAGTATACATGTATACCAACAGAGTATATCACTGAACTGGGATATAGTATACATGATACCAATATAGTATACATGTATACCAACAGAGTATATCACTAAACTGGGATATTGCTACAACTGTGACTAAACTACTGTACCAAAACATTAAGAGAGGCAATAAAACTATGAGAAAATTACCTGCTCGCGTTGCAAGCTACACATTCGCAAAGCAACTCGCTCATTCGGGATTTGACCCATGACTACCCAATTCAAAATTCGTGGAAGTTTGTTTCCAAGATGATCAGCAAAGTGACCATCCAAACTTGGGCAGCATTCATACAACCAAGTCTGTAAAGCCAACGGGAAGCCACCAAGTCTATAAAAAGAAGGCTTATCTTGAAACTTGTTGGAACACGAGTCAATTGTAGCTTTATAAACATCTATACCCCAGGGATAATTATTAAAATCACCGGACTCAACCAAGTCAATGTAAGACCGTGAAATAGCCTTTGTTTTGAGTTGAGAAAATAAGAAGCTGTTGACAAAATAAAGAACTGCTATCTTCAACGCATCATCATCCGTTTCCCATTTCTTCTTCTTAAAACAGTCTGCTAGTTGGGCAAATGTCACGGATGCAGTCCCAAAATATTTTGAAATCAACCTATTCTCTGCTATGCTCTCTATACTTGTATCACCCTTACATTTCAACCCAGTAACAAGTGCAAATTCACCCAAGCCAAACCGCAACCTAGAATCATTCACTACAAACCGCATCTCATTTTTCACCTCATGATGTACTTCTCTCATAAGCAAATGGTGCATAACCCGAATCTGCACAATCACTGGTGGCAGATCCAAAAAATAGCCAAAGCATGTTTTCTTAAAAAGTCGAAGTTGCCTCTTTGATAAATTCGCTTTCAATTGATGAATAACATGGCAGTTGGTATCCCAATCAACCTTTGGTTTATAATCTAAGTCAATAGGCACAAGGAAATCCCAACACTGCAAAACATGTTCATATAAAATAATTTCAGAAATAGAATTCACTTAAAATGCAACTAAACCAACTAAAAATATCACAACTACCAACGATACCAACACGACATATAATTATACCAGCAGGGTATACAATTATACTGACTAATTTCCGGCAACTACAAATGACTATACTACTATTACATAACAGATAGGAATAAAGAGAAAAAGCAAAAAGGAATGCAGCTATAAAGTATTTTCAAGATACTGTACGATACTACTATTATTAAAGGAATAGCGAAGACAGCTAAAAAAAGATCCAGAAGCATATGATAGTATATAGCTATACTAACAGGGTAAATAGTTGTACGGGGTTGTTCCAATAACTGTCTATAACTATAAAAACTATCACATAACACACATACACTATGTCTATAGGCACAAAACTTCATGGGAAACATCATGCGTGCCATTGCCACTGCAACAAAACACCAGTTACGCAACAATCAGATAAAGAACATAAATGCAATTTTTTAGAAGAAGACCTCAGAAGTCAAAAGAGCTGCTGCATGCACCAGAAATTATACAAGTTTTACAACCTTAGGGTGAGTGTCTTTCTCACAGGTTTAGATTGTGAATAACAAAAAAAGCTCAACTTAGCCTGCCAGCTTCTTCATAAGGTGATTCATTATGTGCCTTAAACTCATCAGGTTCTCTCTAATACCGCTTATTCAAGTTGCTAACTCTGCATAACCAACAAAGTCTGGATGGGGGACATATAGCAGATTTGGCTGTAAAAACATTCATTTTCACTCACTACCGACTACCATCACATGATATCACCAAACAATCTGGTGAATTGCTATGAAGGAAACATAAATGCAGCAAGTATAGTTAACTGATAAAAGAAGGGAACCCCTCTTTCCATCGGAATGACGGTCTAAAATCAAAAATAGAAGCTGATTCCTAATCCAAGGTAAGTGGGACATATTGGTTCTTAAGAAGTATCTAAAAGCTAACATCACACTTGGCTCTCAGGATATGCAAGGAAACCTTTGTCAAACAAACATAGGAGCAGAAAGACACAGAGCTTCAGGATGATTCGTAACTAGCCATGAAGAGCATCTTCAAGCTTTTGAAACTAAATTTTGCCTACCTAGTGACTGCCGATCTCCTTACAAAATTTGAAAATCATGGGCCGCTCATTGGTGGACATGCTTTCTGAGCAAAAGATTTCTTTAACCCAATAACATTGCCTCCCCCTTCCGGACTCAAGTACTATGTCAATCATGTAACTGAGTACCTGGCATCTTTTTTGTCTACTACTTAGCACCAATTCAACAAATCATTTTCATTAGAAAATAAGTCAATCATGTCCTAACTTATTACTTAAGGTTAAGGGATTCTTCAGATGGTTCAAAAGGGACAATGGGTGTTATTCAGAAAACGCCCCATACATGATCACTCTACCCCGATGCCTGCCTATAATCAATGCCAGTGGTGGTCACCAGCCAAGGCCGTGGGGCTTCTGCACATTGACCCCATCCACACCATGCCACCTATAAAGAAAAGCTCATTCTGCACACATAACTTACACGGTCCCATTCCTTCCATACTTGCTTCTCACCACCACTATCAACTGGCCTAAACACTAGATCACGTACAAAATCATCTAATGCAAAGCTGAAAATCAGAAATCACACAGAGCAGCTCTGGCTTCAATAAATTTGGTTGACAACAACAACTACTGATTGACAACACTAGTGAATCGGCGACCATTTTTTTAAACCTCAAGCAGAACATTAATTTAATCTGTCTTAATTCAAAAAATTAACAAAACTGACTATAACTATAATATAATACAAAAGCATAACGGGAAATCAAAAAATAACAATGTACTATACATTAAAAATCGCAAAGATCATAATTGTAAGAAAATTACCTTCTTGGGTGCGACACCAATTTTTCTCTTCTTTAACTGAGAATCATCGCTACAATCAAGATCTACTGGTTGAGTCTCTGTTTCACGCACGGATTCACGTCGGCTTTCCCCTAACTCAGAATCCTCAACAACTTTACCTTTTCCCTTATCAGTCACAGAAACACCTCCTATGACTGGTTCGGAATTTGTGTCTGGTAATGACAGGTAGGGAGTTTCATCGACTGATGCGGCATTAATATTTTTGCCTTTTCCACCCTCTAATTCTACATTTTCAGTTGTGTTTTCAACATGACTACTGCTAGGGTTACGACTAAGTGGAGACTGAGAATCAGAAAATAAGGAAAAACTAGGCCCAGACATGGCTGAGGCAACGGATTCAGCAGCTACTTGTTTTGAAGAATGAATATTCGTACCAAAGCGACCACCATCTATGCGCACAATGCTTACCGACCCATAGAAGAAACAATAAACCCATAGACATTAGATTCAACAAAAGTACAAAGGAAACTAATAAAAATCCTATGTATTTTAGAAAACCCTACTTTCAACTTAAAATGTACTTTTCAGAAGCAAAAAAATTCACCCCAAAGCAAAAATGTCACCCCAAAATTAGGTACTAGACGAAGAGATTGAACGGAATCGGAAGAAAAAAATTACAACTCGAATGTGTTTCACTTTTGCGTTCTTATCGGTTGGCTATGGAGTTATGGAAAGTGTACTCTGTTAACTGATAGAGAAAGAAGGAAAGCGTGGGAAGAATGGGCCGGATCGAAGATAATAGCGAGATGGGTAGATCGTGGGAAGAATGGGCTGGATCGAAGATAAGGGAGAGATGGGTAGATTGGGCCGCGTGAAATATAGGGGCCGGGTAAATAGATTGGGCCGACTGGGTAGGCAGGGTAAATAGTTTGGGGATGGGTATTAAAAGGTAAATAGTTTGGCCCTAATAGGTATAAAGTGAGATTTTCTCTATTAAAATAGATTGGGCACAACTTAAGGAGCTTGAATCTCAGTTTTGGGATGATTTGGTGAAGTTTTGAGGTGGTTTGAATTGAAAATTCGGTAAAAACTGAACATGAAAAAAATGATATGTGTATCACACTGTGTATCATTTGTGTATCACATATGTATCATATTTGTATCTATTGTGTATCACATGTATATCCATGTATACCTGTGTGTGAGATACATGCGTGATACATGTTTGATACATGTGTCGCAGAAGACTTTTTTGAACTCGATTTAATTACGAATTTTGATACAAAACCAGTCCAAATCACCTCCAATCTACCTCAAATTTTGTATATTGACTTATCTATATATTTTCAATGAATTTCAACTATACCCATTGAAAAAGTTCCTTTTTTGTTTAGATTTTTGGAATATTGTATATATATTTTTTGTATTTCATCACCTTATTTGCTACCTTATCCATAAAATTTCCTTTCCGTCTTGTATCTAGTGTTGCTAATCACGCTTAAAAATATGGAAGGTGATTTTTGCATGTGATTGTTTGAGAGAAATAACCCTATTACTTGGTTTTTCAATTTTTGTTGGCTAGTTTTGGTAAGTCTATGATTAATGGTTAGAGGTTGGTAAGTTGAGATTTATTTGGGTCATTTGTGTAAGTTTCCCTTTATTCTGTCCTGAAATTTTGAATTAAAAACTTTAACTTAAGGACATTTTGTCCTGAGAAATTAAATTGAAAAACTAAAATTCAGGACGCACTGGCTAACTCCTAAATAATAGCCCTTTAGAGTGGCTATTTGGTTTCATTTCTACGCTGGATGATAATTCCTATTTCTCACAATTTGTTGTACGGAGTATTTGTTTTTGTGATGAGCAGGAAAGAATACATCAGAGGCGGATTCAGGATTTGAAGTTTATAGAATCCTGTCGTAATCTCAAATTAATTAATAAGTATACCATAATAACTGGGTTCACAATTAGACATTTAGTAAACTTTTTAATATAAATACAGGGTCTACGCAAAAGTTACTGGCTTCCCTAGAACCCATACACTATACTCTATATACGCCCCTATACACATGTCTCCACATCCAACTTAACTGCATGAGGAAATGTCAAGATTTAAACTCTACAGGTTTAGTTTTAAGGTTCCTGTATATTTGTAAAGTTATGAGTTTTTATCTACTATTTATTATAATTTTAGTAAATTTTTACAAATAAATTTATAATTTACAAAGTGAAAATGAATCCGAGACATTAATATGGATCTGCCCCTGGGAAATAGTATATTACTACAATTTTAATAAAATAACCATAGTGGTTTACAGGAATTTCTGAATGACTTGGTCTTGCAACTCTTTTTTGATAGAAATTTGCAGGTGCCAAAAATTACCTAGAATGGAGCAAATGAAGAATTTAATAGCTCTGCTCATAGTCATAGAAATGAATGAATCTATATCCTATACTCTGTTGCATCTGAACAATATAATGATGTTAGAGGCATTGAAAGAAAGTCTTGAGGCTGGAAGCCCCATTCCACATTTCAGCTGCCATTTGCTGGTAAATAGTTTCAGTTAGATGATAGGAATCCCAAAAGACATGCTTTTTTGGGCTTTTACAAACCTCAAACTGTTTCACTGGCCTTTTTCCTCCACAGCTATATATTCCTCTAAATCTCCCTGTGCCACAACACGCCTTTTTCCCTTCCTTAAAACCTACATGAATACGAATTAGAATTCAACACTTGTCTTGCATTAGTTCTTAATTAAACAACTTAATCAACAGTTTAACTGATTAAAATAAAACTGATTTTATTGGTTGGTTGTTTAGAAAAAGTACTTCAAGACTACAAAAAATATTAGGAATGATATAGAAAAAACCTCAGTCAAATCAAAAGTGTTTGTAAGCTAAAATATCATATTAAGGTTTTTTTTGTATTAACCAAAAATTAGTGCATACCATATCTGGAGGGATGATTCATCCTCAGTTTCAAACTACGGTTGAAGTCATAAAGTGAGTAGGTGAATCCCTCTAATCGTTTGTGCATTCCTAAGAGAAGATTGTTAAGCTCAAGATTATGTAATCTTGCCAATTTTGAAGCTTCTTCTAAACACCCATTTTTGGTGGGAGGATTAAGCATTCTTAGACCAGGTAAACATCCCAAGTCACCCAAATTCAGAAACCCAAATTTCTTGCCTCCATTCTTGTAGATCTCCTGCATGAATATTAGTTTATGATAAATATTAGTAATTGCTAATCACGTAAAAATGATTACTAACATGTTATTACAGGTTAAACTACATTGATAAGGTAAAAAAAATATTTACACTATCAATATACTACTATTAGATAGTAGTAGTAGTATATCGAAAACAGTATCTCTGCCCTTCCAGGGTAGGGTTAAGGCTGCGTAAATCCTACCCTCTATATAGGTCAAAATCTGACCATAGTGGTCGACCAAGCTGGGATCTCGCCCAGGTGACGGAATAGCGAAGAACACCACGACCAATCTCAGGTCAAATCATCAACAGCGTATGCCAAGACAGAACCGCATTCGAATAATGACGAAAAGGACCGTCGCGGGAAAGCATGTTGGTCAAAGACCATTGAATAAAAGCTTCAGGAACTATATATAGAGGAAAAAAGCACTAATGAGGGGGATTTTTGGCTCTCGAGTAGAAACAAGAAGAATATGAAGGGAAAAGGAGATTTTTGAGGAGAGGGTTTTACCTTACTCTTCCACTCTACTCCTCTCACGATCCTTTTGTTTAGAATGTAAATCCATTTTCTTCATATCGGAGATAAAATTATGACATCAATAAACCTGATATTTATCTATCCATCGTTATTTTCTGCTATGTGTGTTTGGATCCGAAGCTTATTATGCTTGGCTAAGATTTACCTTCTTTATCATTGATAGTTGGATTTGGCAAAGGAATTTCAAAACTTTTTTACTCAAACAATTTGGCGCCGTCTGTGGGGATTTCTTAGCCAAATTCTTTAGTTTCCTTCAGATCCAAAACCGGTGAAATATAGTCACCCACCAAGAGTGGTAAGTGAACCTCACATGCTAATCCAGAGCAGGCTGCTACACAAAAGCAGAAGTTACAACCAATATCAACGCAAAGCCCACACACGAGAGGCCGACACCTGTTGCGCAATCCTATAGAAGAATGGGCACATCCCGTCCTACTCTCACCCCCCACACATCGGATGATCCACGAACAAAGTACAACATGTCTCCCTTGTTATTGGTACGAATCAGACGAGATCGAATTGGGACTCGATTTCTGCACCGCAGTAATTAAGGCGAACCCAACCCGCGTGGAGCTAGGACACCTTTTAAAAAAGGAAGGAAAGCTGAACATGGCCACCGAATCTAAAATCCACTATTCCATCACCATTTAAACGCCAGGTAGAGCGAGCAACGCTATAAGCCTACCCTCGCTCACCGACTTGTTGGATCGAGGTAAGGAAAATCTTATTTTAGTTTACCCTCCGTTGTTTTCTTAGACAGGAACACCAGCGCCACACGGGCAAGCAAGCAAAGGAGCATCCCAACTAGAGATAAAGAAAGGAAAACTACTGCAAAATAACTGGAATGTCGCCCGTCTCAAACACTTCAACCTCTAGGGGGTATGAGCTCAAACTCCATAGAAGCAACACAAAAAACACTCACGGAGTTCTAGACAGAAACATATATTTTCAGAGTGTAACATTCGAGTTTCTCTATCTCATTTTGCTTCGTATAAGGAGTACTTGGTTGGGTTTCTCTCTCTCTCTCTCTCTCTCTCTCTCTCTCTCTCTCTCTCTCTCTCTCTCTCTCTCTCTTTCCCTCTCCCGACTCCAACATTGGGGACGATGATGAAGAAGAAGAAGAAATAATAAAAGATTAACAAAGTCGCAACAAAAATCAACCTCTGGGAAATGACGCCCCTCAAGTCGCATTCCCTTTTCCCTCACCCGGGTTTTGTCCCAATCGGGTTCCCGGGGAGGTTTTTAACGAGGCGATGAGGGGGATATCTCCATATTAAAGGGGTAATTCATCGCCCCGCCTATCGACAAGCTCTCCAGGCCGAACGATGAAGGGACTAGATACATGAAAATTCAAATATATGCATGAAACGAACGGATATGATACCCAGTTAGCGAAACGGCAACGTTTTATACTCCTTGTCATCATACTCTCCAATGCAAACAAAATTAAGCAAACTGGGACTCACCCAAGAAACGCAAAAATTAAGCAAACTGGGACTCACCCAGGAAACGTAGAGGTTAAGCAAAACTGGGACACCCCAGAGGACACCCGAAACTCTTCAAAAAAAAAGAAAGAAAAAAGAAGGCAAAATCGAGTACGCTAAGATTAGCTCCGATGTCTACGGACAGTATGGTAGCCTATGATTCGCCAAAGTCTGACAATGACACGATGGGTTAACATTCCGACACCAGCTCGGAATAACACCCCTACGGCCAAGGGCCATCGCCTAAAAGAAGAGTTCAACCTCGCTCGAATCATTCAATATTCAACCTCGTTTGAATTACGACAGGTTAACATTTCGACATAATAACACCCCTACGGCCAAGGGCCATCGCCAAAAAGAATAGCTTGACCTTGCTCGAATTAATCAATATTCGACCTCGTTCAAATTACGACGGGTTAACATTTCGACATCAGCTCGAAATAACACCCTTACGGCCAAGGGCCATCGCCAAAAAGAAGAGCTCGACCTCGCTCGAATCATTCAATATTCGACCTCGTTCGAATTACGATGGGTTAACATTCCGACACCAGCTCGGAATAACACCCCTACGGCCAAGGGCCATCGCCAAACAAAAGAAGAGCTCGACCTCGCTTGAATCATTCAATATTAGACCTCGTTCGAGTTACGACGGGTTAACGTTCTGACACCAGCTCGGAATAACACCCCTACGGTCAAGGGCCATCGCTAAAAAGAAGAGTTCAACCTCGCTCGAATCATTCAATATTCGACCTCGTTCGAATTACGACGGGTTAACATTTCGATATCAGCTCGAAATAACACCCCTACGGCCAAGGGCCATCGCCAAAAAGAAGAGCTCGACCTCGCTCGAATCATTCAACATTCGACCTCGTTCGAATTACGACGGGTTAAGATTTCGACATTAGCTCGAAATAACACCCCTATGGCCAAGGGCCATTGCCAAAAAGAAGAGCTCGACCTCGCTCAAATCATTCAATATTCAACCTCGTTCGAATTACGACGGGTTAATATTTCGACATCAGCTTGAAATAACACCCCTACGGCCAAGGGCCATCGCCAAAAAGAAGAGCTCGACCTCGCTCGAATCATTCAATATTCGACCTCGCTCGAATTACGACGGGTTATCATTCCGATACCAGCTCGGAATAACACCCCTACAGCCAAGGGCCATCGCCAAACAAAAAAAGAGTTCAGCCTCGCTCGTATCATTCAATATTCGACCTCGTTCGAATTACGACGGGTTAACATTTCGACATCAGCTCGAAATAACACCCCTACGGCCAAGGGCCATGGCCAAAAAGAAGAGCTCGACCTTGCTCGAATCATTTAATATTCGATCTCGCTCGAATCATAACGGGTTAACATTTCGACACTAGCTCGAAATAACACCCCTACGACCAAAGGTTCTCGCCAAATGAAAAATTTGGCCTCGCTCGAATCGTTCAGTATTCGATCTCTCGAACTACAACGGGTTAGCATTCCGACATCAGCTCGAAATGACATCCCTACGGCAAAAAGGCCATCGCAGAAGGGAAAAGTTCGACCTCGCTCGAACTCAATAACGCCATTGCAGCTACCGGTCGTCGTCCACCATTTTTTCCCCTACTTACTAAAAAAATTGATCTCGCTACAAACTCCAAGATCGACCGCGCTCGAACATAAAAAAATAAGACTTCGCCCGAATCAACAACAGTTTGATCCCACTCAAATGACTCGAGACTGACTTTATCCAAAACAACGAGTCCGAATATAACCTCGTTTGAGTCAAGGGTGAATCAGCTTAAAGCAATAAGTCACAAGTCTACCTCGCCCAAATAGGCGAATCCAATGAGACTCCATCCGGACTCACACGACGAAATATACTCGGTCAGGATAAAATTGGTTTTCCTGAAAAGTTAGGAGTTCACCAGACGGAAATCTGAAAGTTTACGCCAAATATATGTAAAGCAAAAGGAAGGGAGAGAAATACAAAGGACGTACAACGACGAAAACCCCTTTTATTTAGACAGTTGCGCAAATGGCCACAGATTACACACGGCTAAAAACCGGTCCAGTACAGAAAATACAAAAAAAATGAAGATAAAAACTTTTTTACTCGGCGTCATCACCACCGTCCTCCTCATCACCATCTCCAGGAAACCCCTCGTCAGCATCAACACCCTCGCCGGCCTCCGGTGTCGCAATATCGCAGCCACAGTTAACACGAGCCTCTCGGGCCTTCGCCCGAGCTCCTTCATAAGCGGCCTCAGAAACATTGCCCGCTTCCCAAAAACTCTTGTGTATGTCCCGCTGGGTCGGAATGGACCCAGAGCTTGTGCAAATGGCGAGGAGCAGCGGCGAAAGCAGATTCAACTTGGGCCAATAATTGCGCCTTTTCGGCCTCAAGGACAACGACCCGATCTTGCAACATTGAAGCTTCCCGGTCAATTTGCCAATACGCTCTTCGAGCCTCGCCTCCCTGAGCGTAGCCGCCGCCCTCTCAGACTCCTACTCGGATTGAAGGACGCGGATATTGTCCTCTAAAGCCGCCTCCCTCGCCGAAGCTGACGCCCAGGCACTCTCGGCACTCTCCAACTCGGAGACCTTTTTCTCCAATTCGGTTAATTTCCCCATCCACTCCGCACTCAAAGCCTCGATTCTGATGGCATTGTGATCCAATTCGGACTGCAATGACAACACCTTTGCCTGAAGATGTTCACACTCTGCGGCGACCCCTTTTCCCAACCCACGTTCCTCGTCCCTCACACGAAGCAGCTCCTCGAGCTCGCTATTCTTGCGAATAGCCTGCATCAGCTCCTGATCCCTCTTTTCCAGTTCCTCGCCGAGAGATTGATTACCGGTGTTCACCCTGAGCCGTTCGTGCATCTCACGGCACTTGTTGCCGTAGCGCCGATACTTCTCCAACATTGTCAGAAAATTTTTGGCCCGAATGTCGGCCCTGCGAGCACTTTCAATCTCCACCATGTACATTTGAAAGCCCAAATAGAAAAGAGAGAAAGACGGAAGTCAAGGTCGCCAAAGATAAAAGGAACACAAAAAGAAAGAGGAGAAACTTACTCTCAAGCCCATAGCGGCCATTTCATGCATCAAATCAACGTCACGGATGCCCCAAAGAGCCTCACACTCTGCGGCAGAGCACAAAAGGTCAAACTGCGGTACCAAGTCCTCCGTGTCCCCCAGAAGGTTAATCTCCGAGGGGATCTCAAGAATACTGGAAGGACCTCCCGCCTTTACCACCGTACGAGTAAGGCCTTCCTCGAACATCTTAACATCATCAGGATCCAGATCGGATTCAGACTCGTAGTCATTGACCATGACACCCTTTCCCCTTTCTGCGGGCGAAGAAGAAGCATGACCCGATCCGGAAGACGATGTCCCGCCCAAAGTGGCAACGGCGGCCTCGGGATCCCGACTCCCTATCGTAGTAGTCCGCTGATCGATCACAGTAGTCGAAGCCTCTACCGTCGAGTTGGTCAAGATCACTGGGTTTACCTCTGCGGACGGGTTTATATCACCCCCCATTTCAGACACCGTCGAGGAAAGGTCACCCTCTGGACATAGTGCAGCTGAAGGAGCCATTTCGGACTCCACTCATCGTCTCTTCGACGGACCTTCCCCGTCCTCAGCACGGGAAGACTCACCCGTTGAGCGGGCAGTAGGAGCCGGAGTCCCAGATCGGGGAACAATTTCCATGCATATAACACCGGTCGTAGGTTCAACTTGAGTAGCCCTCGCTATAGGCTGGGCAATAGACCTTGGTGCAGACCGAGCAGAAGACATTGGCTGACGGAATGCAAGCGGAGGAGCCCTCGCCCTTCGCACTCTCCCTGATAACGGTAATGGTCGTATAAGCAACGAGGTCAAAATTGCAAGGCAAAAAAAAAAGGGCAAGTCTACTTACCAGTAAGGGGCTTACGTCCATATTTCTCATAGAAGGACGCCCATTCGCGAACTCCCGCCGTATGAGGAAGAATGGAATTCACCCATTCGCAGATATCGTCAACAGGCGGAATAGGTAGTCTCGCAGCTGCAAAAGTAAAAATGATTTAATACTGCCCAAATAACAGCGGTCGACTATCATTCCGACAGAAGATACAAAAACTTACGTGCGAAGTTCCACCTCTCAGGGAACCCTGCAGAGTTCGTCACAAGGTGCTCGGTCCGCACATAAAAATAGTTTTCGTAGAAACGACAATTTGCTCTATCGTCCATCTTCACCACCAGACTCTTCGTTCCTCGATGGCGCATGTGGATCATCGTGCCTCAAATAAGTTGAGGGGCAAAAATATTGAGCATATGCCCCAGAGTGATCTCCCGACCAGTAAGCTTCGCGAACTTGAGAAGCATGAGGAACAGTTTGTATAAGTACGGCGAAAGTTGAGCCGGACATACCTCGTAGAAACGGGAGAAATCTACCACCAAGGAAGGGAGAGGAAGCGTATATCCGACGATAAAAAGGTATGCGTAGAACGCACAGTATCCTGGGCGGTCGAAATGTATAATATCATCTCCTACCGCCGACAACATCTCAACATGATGCGGAATCCCCCACTTGGTCTTAAGCTCCGCAATCGCCGCTTCATCCATAACAGAGAAAATAGGCTCCGATTTCTCTCCAGCAGGGCTGTTGAAATCGGTCCATGGCTTCCCCGGACAGGGCAATATTTTGGCCGCTGTTGGAACCCCCTCATCCTCCACCAGCTCCACTCCTCCGGGAGCGAGAGCATCATTTTTTGGCGCCAGAACTGCGGCAAGATTATCTGCGCGTGAAGAGGTACCAGCCATTTATCTCGATTAAACAGAGCGAATGAACAAGGGGAAGTAAGAGAGAAGACGGTGATGTCAATTTCTGACTAACAGGAGAGTGAATTGAAAATTCGAAGTATCGCAGAAGATAAAGACTCGTAAAACTCTTTTGATAAATCGAAAAAGTGTGCCAATAGAATGGTGCTTTCCCCTATTTATCGGAACATAAATGCCCCAAGCGGAAAACCCAAGAGTCGCCAATCGAAACTGATAGGGCATGAGGAACGGTTCAATCCACAAGAAACTTGTGTCATAATGATAGTAACTACAAATGACGTTTTAAATCAACATAACTGTTCAACTCCGAACGGATGCGACGATCCAGAGGCATCATTGAAGCGTTGCGCCATCGCCTCGATCCAAAAAAAAAATCTCGTTCAAGGCGTAAAGCAGTTAGATTTCTCCTAGCCTTCGAATCGACAGAATCCGACCGTCGAGCCCTCTAAGGGACGACCTCGACGAACGGAGGGACTAACTGTATAGGTCAAAATATGACCATAGTGGTCGACCAAGCTGGGATCTCGCCCAGGTGACGGAACAGCGAAGAACACCACGACCAATCTTAGGTCAAATCATCAACAACGTATGTCAAGAGAGAACCGCATTCGAATAATGACGAAAAGGACCGTCGCGGGAAAGCATGTTGGTCAAAGACCATTGAATAAAAGCTTCAGGAACTATATATAGAGGAAGAAAGCACTAATGAGGGGGGATTTTTGGCTCTCGAGTAGAAACAAGAAGAATATGAAGGGAAAAGGAGATTTTTGAGGAAAGGGTTTTACCTTACTCTTCCACTCTACTCCTCTCAGGATCCTTTTTGTTTAGAATGTAAATCCATTTTCTTCATATCGCAGATAAAATTATGACATCAATAAATTTGATATTTTTCTATCCATCGTTATTTTCTGCTATGTGTGTTTGAATCCGAAGCTTATTATGCTTGGCTAAGATTTACTTTCTTTATCATTGATAATTGAATTAGGCAAAGGAGTTTCAAAACTTTTTTGCTCAAACACTCTCCCAGACCCCACTTGTGGGTTATATTGATCTTTTGTTGTCGATGTTGTTTGTAATATACTACTAAGTACTCTTATTAGATAATGAAGTTTTGGGTGCAAGTTGTTTGCTTACTTGTACCACTGAAGTCAAGTTGCCAATGACCATTTGTACGTATTGGGAAGGAGAATATGCAGCTAGGACTGTGGAATTGGTCAAAAAGGGACTTAAGTAGTCATTGGTCCCAATGCCAATCAAGTAAACAGCACTTCTCAATATGTTGTCCGATTTTGAATAGCCCAACTTGCTTCTTAACGAAGTTTTCAGCTTCTTGAAGTTGTTTAACTGTGTCTTCAAATCAATCACCTGAAGAATGACGAATATTAGAATGCCGACATACAACAAAAAACAAAACACGACTGTAGCAGTAAGCATTCTTGGTGTGTAGGGGCCTGATTATTGTACAATTTTCCAGTTGTGTGGATGTGCCGAAAGTCCAAGATTGCAGCTTTTTCTTTTTTGGGCCTGGCTTGTGGCATGTGGCCTGATTGATAGACTAGACAATAGATACCATAGGAAAAGAGCAGCCCGATGCACTAAGCTCCCGCTATGCGCGGGGTTCGGGGAAGAGCCGGACCACAAGGGTCTATCGTATGCAGTCTTACCTTGCATTTCTGCAAGAATCTGTTTCCACGGCTCGAACACGTGACCTTCTGATCACATATCAGTAATTTTATCAGTTACGCCAAGACTCCCCTCCCGATAGACCCCATAGGAAGAGGGTAGAAATAGGGTCCAGCTGACCATTTTTGGCTCTGTAATCTAAAAATAGTCATTATCATTGTAGTTTTAAATTTTATTTCCACTACAATATCTAGAGTTTCAACTATGAAATTTAAAATTCCAAAATAATGTCCATTTTTTCACTTACAAGCTGAAAAGTGGCTATTTATGAATTTTACCTTGAAAAGTGGTATCTATGGTCTGTGCTGATTGTCACAGAACCCCCGCTTTAACGTAAAGTAAAGGTAACTTGCAGTATCTAATGGCCTACAACGGCTTCTATATATGCACGATTTTAGTTCCACCGCACTATTTATACTTTTAAAGCACCTTGGACTCATACAGATTCCTGACTTATAACATATTTTTCATCTTCATATATTTTAAGAGAGAAGGGCAGTCTTGACGTAACTGGTAAAGTTGCTGCGATGCTGCTGTGTAAAGTTGCTGGCATTACACGTGGAATGTTAGTATGCTGATAAAGCACGACGCATGGAATAGCGACAAGTGGCATTCTCAATTAATAGAATTAATTGAGAGAGGCAGGCACGGGAGAAACACCCACGAGACGGTATAGAGAAGAGAATTGGTCCTAACAATTGATAAAGAAGAAACGAGGACGGAATGAATGAAAATCAAAAAGAAGGAAAGATACATGAACTGGAAATAAATAAGGAAGGGAAATCGGAATAGTTATAGGGCATTTATAGCAATAAATACGCCAGTTATAACTATCTGTGATAATTGGCAATCTATACCATTAATGCCCATAATAAACCCAAATTATGTGAGAAAACCGTTATGATTGTACACTCATATATAAGGATACATAATTTTATTTGTAAGGACCAGATTGGAAGTACTATTGAAATATACTCTTTATTTCTTTGCTTTATCGAAACTCTCAGCCTTGATTTTATAAATTGTCCATCTAGTTATTCTTATTTCTTTTAGTATATTTTCTCCACCATTCTTATTGTTTTCCTTAAATAACATTGTGGAAGTGAAGTAAAACCTGGTTATCAGTAGCCCGTTTTTCTTCTAAATTTAGACTGGCCGACAAATCGACTTTTTTGGTTAAACAAGTTGGTTCCGTTACCAAGAATCTGATAATCTTTTCACTTTCCAAATTCTCTTTCTGACAACCAACTATGTCAACTGTCAACGAAAATAACCAGCTAAACCCACAGGAGGGGCAACTCCACCACTCCCTTCTCCATAAGGATCTTCTCAACAGTCCCCTGAGCGTAACACGTGGATGATCATCACGGGGACGAGCAGACTATCGAACAAGACGCTTTAAAACAAATGATCGCAGAACACGTGAACAGTGCTCTTCAAGCCTTTGTTAGGGGATTGCCAACTGCGTCGCAAACTCCTTCTCCAAACAATACCACAACCCTGGAAAACCCACGCTCGGGGTTCGCCAATTCTGGAAGCGGAGGAACTCCCAATGAATCTCGTGATGCAAGGTCAGGTACACCAAATAATTCTGATTTACAAAGTTTGGTACTAACTTTGCAGAAACAGCTGAAAGAACAAAATGATCGCATTGAACAAATACATACCTCCCGTAATTAAAGGAGTAGATATTGATAAATATTCACAACAGCCCTGGAAGCCAAGTGCAACACCTTTGCCGATTCCTTAGAAGTTTAAAATGCCTGATATTGCAAAATATGATGGAACAACTGACCCTCGAGATCACGTAACCGCGTTTACAATTGGCGTGAAAGGCAACGATTTAACCAAATAGGAAATCGAATCAGTTTTGGTTAAAAAATTTGGTGAAACACTCACGAAAGGAGCATTAACATGGTATTCTCTCTTTTCTGTAAATTCTATTGATACCTTTGCTGAGCTTGCAGATTCATTATAAAAGCACATCCGGGAGCTCAAAAAGTTAAAGAAAAGAATGGAAGACATCTTTAAGGTAAAACAAGAAAATGCAGAATTACTTAGGGAGTTTGTGGATAGACTCCAATGGGAAACTTACTATCTGAATCAAGATCAAGACAAAAAGATGCGGGTTCTTCATCTAGATTCAGAAAGAAACGGGATGCACGAGGTGATAACTCCAGCATACATGTGAGAATTGAAGATTACAGTTTTAATGTCAGTACCTCCGAGTTGGTGGCTATTTTAAGAGGTATGGGAGATAAGGTGCTGTGGCCTAAAGAAATGAGATCAGACCCGAGCAAAAGAAATTCAGATTATTGGTGTGAATTTCACAACGATCATGGCCATAGAACAACAAATTGCAGGTTATTACAAGGAGTGGTCGAGCATTTGTTGAAGAAAGGTTATCTAAATGACCTGTTCAGCAAGAAAGGTAGACAATCATATATGATGAACAGACAAGAACCCCTAAAACCCCCGTCTCCAAAAAGAACAGTTAACGTAATAACTGGGGGAGACGAGGTCAATTGTGTGACTTATACAGCAGCAAAGAAGACGTCAAAAATCATAGTTACTCATGGGAAGCGTATACGCCAAGTCTTGGAAGGAGACAATATAACATTTGATGACGAAGATGCGGACGACTTGATGATTCCGCACAATGACGCACCGGTAATATCTTTACTTATACACGATACTAATGTAAAACGAGTATTGATCCAGGTAGTTTCGTGAATATCATTTTACTAAGAGTGGTGGATGAAATGCAAGCTAACGACAAGGTGATACCAAAAGCACGGTCTTTGTCTGGGTTTGATAATTCAAGTGTTATCACGAAAGGAGAAGTAGTGCTTGCTACGTTTGCAGAAGGGGTTAACAAGGACACAAAGTTTCAAGTGGTAGATGTAGATATGGCTTATAATATAATCTTGGGAAGACCATGGATTCATGATATGGATGTTGTACCGTCCATATCGCATCAAGTTATCAAATTTTCTTTACAGTAGGGGATTCGTCAAATCCGTGGAGATCAACAAGCTTCCAAAAGTATAATTCAGTGGTGGCTACCAGCACGGTAAATGATGTTGCAGGCGAGAAATAGTAGTTACATAATTCAGTTGAGGATGCCGTAATACAAACCTCAACTGAAGGCATTCCAGGACAAACTGATGTTGATTCAAGACCCGATGTTATTCAAGATCAAGAAGAAAATGAAAACATTAAGACAACTACCGAAGAACTCGAAGCGGTGGTGCTATTTAAACACTAGCCAGACAGAAAAGTTCACATCGGAGCAAACCTGAGCACAGAAATGAAAGGTAAGTTAATTGAATTTTTGAAATCTAATGCAAATTGCTTTGCTTGATTGCATTTAGATATGACAGGTATACTACCGGAGGCGATGACCCACAAATTGAATGAGGACCCATCATATCCACCTGTCAAGCAAAAGAAGATGAAGCAGGGATACTTCAAAAATCAAGTAATCCAAGATGAGGTACAGAAGCTTTTAAAAATTGGGTCAATACGAGAGGTAAAATATCCTAATTGGCTAGCCAATACTATGGTAGTTCCAAAAAAGAATGGGAAATGACGAGTTTGTGTAGATTATACTAATTTGAATAAAGTTTTCCCGAAAGATTCATTCCTTTACCACACATAGATCAACTGATTGATTCCACCGCAGGACATGAGCTGTTAAGTTTTTTTGATGCATACTCAAGATATAACCAAATAAAGATGGAGCCTTTAGATGAAGAAAAAACTTCATTTATTACAGACATGGGGACTTACTGTTACAAAGTCATGCCATTTGGTCTAAAAAATACTGGAGCCACGTAACAAAGATTGGTAACTAAAATATTTCAAGAACATCTGGGAAAGACTATGGAAGTCAACATTGACGATATGCTAGTCAAATCGGCACTAGCAGGAGATCATTTTCAACATCTATCAGACACTTTTCAGATTCTCCACAAATACAATATGAAGCTAAATCCAGAAAAATATGCTTTTAGTGTAGCTTCAGATAAGTTTTTTGGTTTTCTTGTTTCTAACAGGGGAATTGAAGTAAATCTTGCACAATCAAAGCTATCGAGGAAATATCGGATGTACTCACAAGCAAAAAAGAAGTGCAGAGGTTAACAGGAAGAATAAAAACCCTGGGGAGATTTATTTCAAAATCATTGAAAGGAGTTTTAAATTCTTTTCCGTATTGAAAAAGCAGAATTAATTTGAATGGACTGATGAATGCCAACGAGCCCTCAAGGACCTAAAATCGTATTTGTCAAATCCGCCTTTGCTAGCCAAACCAAAAGACAGAGAAAAACTACTTATCTACCTTGCTGTGTCAGAAGTGGCGGTAAGTGTGGTGCTGGTACAAGGGGATAAAGGTAAACAATCTCCAATATGTTATGTTAGTAAATCTTTGTTAGATGCTGAGAGGCGATATCCTCATCTAGAAAAGCTTGCTTTAGCATTAATTATGACATCTAGAAAGTTGAGACCTTATTTTCAATGTCATCCTATCTATGTAATAACGGTAGGTTAGCTAAGTGGGCAATAGAACTTAGTGAGTATGATATCATATATCAGCCCAGAACTGCTTAGCAGATTTCGTAGAAGATTTCAGCATAAATTTAATTCCTGAAGCAGAAAAAGAATTAGAGGTATTTATCTGATCT